AATTACAAACCAGTTAAGTGTTTCTTTTTTTTTTACGGATCTGACACTTCATATGCCTGCTCACCAAAACTTTGCTCCGTGTGTAAATCAGAAAAAAATTCAAGAGGAGGAAGATAAATTCAAGAACAAAAACCAAAAGAGAACAGAGGAAGATAACATGTTACTTGTATTTTAATATCTTTTTACTGGATGTTGCTGTTGTAACTTTGATATTCTAAAATATTATAGTTTTATACAGTATCTATAAATTCCACACTAAATACTATATAAGTTTTTACTTTGTTTTATATGTTCATTTGTACTCCTGTCTATCTGATCTTAAATTCCACTTTTGTGTCTTTTTGCTTCCCATTTTGCAATTTTATTCTTATTTATTTATACAGCTCAATAACTCAGGTTTAGGTAATAAGTAAGATAGAGATACTCGCAGTAATAGTGGAAGTAGAAAAATAACTAGAATGTCCACTACATGCTCACAGAAAGGAGGCTTGTGTGACAAAGTCTTTGTTTAACAATATAAAGGAACCTGCTGAAACCAACCACTTGCTTGGGGCCAAGAAAACAAGGACACTCTTTCCAAATCACTTAAATCAACACTGACATGAATGCATGCTTTTCACACTTTGCTGACTCTTTGCTCCATTGCCATTCCTTGCACTGCACTTAAAGGGGTAAAAATATAGTTTGCGCACTTTCAACAATATCTTAAATAGCCAGAAACAACAGGCGCATGTTGCCTGAACCCAATATCTTGTACAAAACGAAGGTGGGGAAACTGTGTGGTGAAAAAATGGAAATGGAAGTTTAAACCTGGAATGATTTCTTGTGATAAGGTTACATTCTGTGGTTTTGTACTGTCAGTATGAATGACACAGGGATGTAAAAGGTCAAATGCTGTTGATAAAACAGAATGAAAGGATAGCATCTTTAAAAGCTCCAGCTTGTCATCTTGAATTAACAGTTTCCATGACTCTGAAAGTGTCAGAATACTGAGTCAACTGGATAGCAATCACTTCAGTCTTCTTCACATGCCGTGAAAGAGTAATTATATTTCAGAATATATGTAAACAAACATGAATGTTTCCAAAAATGCAGTTAAAACTTGGTTTTCTTATCATCTTTCCACTATATAGCTCTGTTTGTTTTTTATCCAGACCAATGTAGTACTGTAGCAGTAGCACTAGAGATGTCGTAGTTTTCTGGGATTATGAACAAGATGGCGCTACAACAGGTACTGGCTGTGTACCAGCTCCATGATCAACTCCCTATAATCCCAGTAAAGAACACCCTAATGAGCATTATGGCTTTAATACCAGAAATGCATGTCTATTGATTAAAAGGTGTTCTTCAAAGTGGTGTATACAAATAGGAATAAAAATGGCGGGCAAAGTCTCCTGGTTACCACCTGTGTTGGCATGGCAACCATGCAACATGCACAGCAAGCCCGACAATACAGTATTCATTATATGGTTCAAATGCATAGTGTATGCTGCATGAGGCAGTTGTTTCTTGTATAAACACATATTGAAGAATGTCACGTAATATGACATAGCCTTCTCCTTCTCTTTTTTGCATTTCACTCCATCAAATGTGTCCTTGCTGTTGTCCTGGCTGTGAAGATTAGAGAATGAACAGAAGATGTGAAATAACTCCTCAGCCGGTATAAAACTCAATACTTGTCATTAAGTCTGCTGAGCACAGAGGGTACCATATCCTCATTATGCAACAACAATGAACATGACCATCTGTACACTTACATGATCCCATAAAAAAACCTTTTCTACAGCATGTACAATCTTTGTATTTTAAACATTGTTAAAGGTACCTTCATTCTGCAGGGGTATATTATACTGAACTGAAATGATAAACACACCCGTCTGGTGTAATGGACTTTTGAATACAAAAAAATACTTTTAGTTAGTTAGTTAGTTTTACTTTTAGAGTGTAAAGAGAGACAGACACATACAGCAGAACAATAAAAGCAGTTCCCTTTTCTCCTCTACATCAAATATAGAGTATCCTTTTCATAATAATCATGTTTATACTGAGAAATCTATTATTGTACCTTATAATGACATTGTGTGTTAATAAAAAGCTAAATAGATGGGTTTCAGGGTAGCCTGATGGTTTGACTTGTGTTTAACTAGAAACCGTGAGAAGCCTGACACATCAAATAATTGCCAGAAAAAAAATCAGATATTTGTGTGTTTTAAGTGTTTATCTGACCTTTTGACAAAATACAAAAAAAATGTTTAACATATATGATGTGTTTTTTGTATCACTTTTAATTAATAAGGCATTCATGGTAATGTATTGATCTTATTTGGATTAATAATAGGAAAATTCTTTTCACATCACTCCACTAGTCTATCTGTACAATGCTGATAAATACTAGATCATCAGCGCCTAACAAAGATAGCGGCGTATCATCTGAGAACCCGTTTCACAGTTGTGCAAAAAGTAGAGGTGAGCTCACACAACCCTCCTGAGTTATAGTAACAACGGAGTTCACCAGAGGGCAGAAGACCGATTGCATACAACAGCTTATTTTGATGTTGTAGAGGTCTTAAAAAAACCTAATTTAGCAAATATGATACAACTGGTATTTAAAGCAGCAACAATGAACTTACATTTTTTGTTGATTCTGGCAGCCCCTGTGGACAAAAGCGGTTGCGTTTCCATTAATTCCAAGAGGAATCCGACCCGTTGGCAGGCATTAGAAATAATTATATAGAAACAGCCAATCTTCTCTTCTCTTGTTTGTTCATGTAGGTCACATAGAGGCATCAGTATTAAATTAAAACTGTTCAATAACCAGTTAAAAACTCCTTGTAGGTTTAATGTAATCCCTACAAAAGCGAGTGCTGTGATGTTGTTCACTTTCATTTGAGTTTCACTGCATGTCAATCAAATTAATGCCTGTTTAAGTAATTGTTTTCATTTTAATGCCATTCTATAGTTGCAACCATGGACAGCATCTAACTAACGTAACTACAGCATTTATACTGCGCCACAAGATTTGTAGAAGCTAATGTCTGATAGCTTTAATCCTTATGTCATATTTATTGCATCAATTGCCACTCTTTATATCTGAGGATAATTCTAAAATTCCTATTGATTTAATAAAAAAGAAGAAGACATCTTTGACCTGAAGTAACCTCTATGAAAAGTTATTATTATGTATTATATATATGGCGGGATTCAGTATCAGTTTTAAGCAAATCTTGCTTCTCAGAAAACAAATTGGTCCTTGTGGATTTAGCAAAACTAATCCTCCTCTGGGTGGAGCAATGCTGTTACTATAATGCACCTCTCCTGTAGCTGCATCTGCACTGATTAAGCCCAGAAGCAAAGTTTCATGTCAGTAAAATGTTTACCCACGATGATCAATTAAAAAAACTGATGTATGCAACACAAAAAATGTATCCTCCATCCTCTTATCACTCAGTTTACTTTCTCTCATTTATACATTTCATTATTTTGTGGCATTCTCCTCCATGTTGACTTTTTGATGTCTTTTGTGTCATTGCTTGTCACCTTGATCATGTGGTGAAACATTGTTATAAGCCCCTCTGGATTTCTGTTTCAGCTGCATATTTGTACTCCATGCCGTATTTCATTCTCTCTGTATTTTATCATCCTTATAAACAAACCAACATCTTGACAGAAATCACTGTATATTCAAGCATCGCGGCATGAAATGTGTCACATTTGTTATTTGACACTCATTTACACATTTACAGCTTATTTATAACTTTTGGTTTCAACACAGGGTGAAATGTGATGGTCCAATTCTTGGCATAACTAAAACAGAGCCAATTTTACTTTCTGCAATGACAACACATGCTTGAGTAGTCACTGAAGTTCATTTGCATATTAATTCGAAGACAGATGTTACACGGTCTTTCTGCGGTATGAACAGAGCCCAGAGTTGGTCTGCGCTCATGCCAGTCCAACTGGAATTGTGTTTACCAGATTGTATCCTTACAAACAGATCACAGATTTCTTTATTTGGAGGAATTAGGTGTTAGCTCATCTTGTTTCCATGTTGAATTTTTGAACAGCTTTAATTCGTCAGACTTCATGGATTTTACCCCTCTAACTTAAACAGACAGAGGTGTTAGATTTCAATAAATATTGTGCTTATTTTGTCCTTCTGTGTGTCTGTAACCTAAATTGAACTGCTTGTGCTGTCGTCTTTGTGCCAATAAGCACATTAAAACCAGATTTAACGCTGATGTAAACACTATAATCAAGTTCAAAATTATAGGATCTTCAATGGTTTTAAGACACTATTGGACTATTCCTTTTTTCTGAAGAGCAGGAGCTGCTATGATCCAAGACACTGCTGATATTGTACGGCCAATTTCATTACAAGTAGTCGCAGCATTGATTTATTAAAATCAGTTCAGAACAGCAATTTGCATCCCATTTACCAGTGGTGGAGGAAGAATTCAGATCATTCACTTGAGCAAAAGTAACAATACTACAATATTAAAATACTCTGTGTAACATTTAAAATGATCTATTGACAGAAATAGAATATAATATTTATAGGTTTGTTTTCATTAGTGTACCTGAAAATAACGTTTTCATCTACAGATGCCGCGGGTTGCCTTCCACAGAACTGCCATTCCAACTAATTTTATTTATATCATTTTTATCTATTGTATATACTATTGGGTAGTTTACCTAGTAAACTACTAACAAAAGTTATCACACAAATGCAGTTGAAGAAGTAAAAAGTACAATATGTACTTCAGGTAGCAGTATAAAGTAGTATAAAAGTACCTCAGATTTGTGCTTTTGTACAGTACTTGAGTAAATGTATTTTTCCGCCGCTGCCATCTATCAAACAGTATCAATTTTTACTTGTAAATACCTGTAAAAAAGAAAAATGAAAAAACTCTGAACACACTGCCTGTTTTGCTCACACTACTTTTGTCTATGTCTCGCTCCCCCTCCTCTTTCTATTTCCCGCTTTCTCTGATTCTCTCCAGAACATATTACATTAGTGTCTGACTGTGCCGCATCATGCTGTGGATGAAGTGGAAGATGGTGGTGGACTCCCTGCGTGGACGGAGAAGGAGGATGCCCTGTTCCCTCTGGTTCCTCCTGCTGTTCGCTGCTGGAGGTCTGGTTCTCTTCATCCACCTGCGGGATCTGTCAGAGATGGTCCAGCATCAAGGCCCAGGTTTGTCTCTGCTTGCCCCAAAAAAGTATAAGGTTCGAGCAATGTGGATTTTTGACGACTGACATGTGACGGCTGTTGTATTGACGCTTTCCCAAATAACACTGATATTTTGCACCACTATTAAGCATCCTAACTTCAGACAGTTTTTTTTTTGTTTGCCTTAAAATATTCTTTGCAGGGTAGAAAATCTCTTAAAATGCTCTTAGACTGGGGAGCAATAACACAAATTCAGTTGTTTCTTAACTGATTTAACACATTTCAGCATGCTCACACATGCTCATCAGCATTTGTCCCACATATTATCTCACATTATCAAAACTGACAACATTGCAAGTAAGACATTTTTTTGCTGCAAAATAAAATAAGTTTTGGATTTGAATACTGCAGAGCCCTGGAAGGTCACGGTAGAAATAAAATGTCTGAGCTACTTTTGTGTTGCCTCACATTAAGTGTTGTCCTCACAATGTTTTGCTTTTTCTCACAATACATTTTGCTTTCCCTCTGATCGATAAAGGAAAGCTGAGCTGTATTATGATATAGTGTTGACCACAGCATGAGTGTGTCATCCACAAGCCTGTATCATTGCATTGCTGTACCATTAACTAGTGGAGCTACTTAACAGAGTGAGTTAACCTGGTTCTCTGCACTGAGGTAAGGCAGGCTTCTGCCCCGGCTGAGACATGCTGCTGTTGTGATTTTGACTATTCTCCTGAGATGGCAGATCTTTAGTTGCTTTTGGTGGATGTAGCCATTGCTGCTCTTGGCTGTGACACGTAACGGGTGTAACACTAACTACATGCAGGAGTTATGTGTTCAGTGAATTTTTATGGCTGTGCTGGCTGAGTATTGTCCTGTGTCTCCATCTGTCATATCTGATATAATCACTGCAGGTCTAAATCCCATGTGGCTAATTCTTGGTTTCTTGGCTAATGATAATAGGAACAATAGTCACAGAACTGTCCCATCCATTTAGTAGTATCATACAACCACAAATGCAACCACAGCCCGAGCAATAACCATACCCAGAGCCATAGCTTCAATGCTATGCACACTGTTGGAGGTCATTCTTTCAGAAGGAGTAATGATTTCCATAAACTGGCAGTGTATTATAACTGGACCGACACACTGGCTGTTTGGATCAGGCTAAATGCAAATGTTATTGCAAAGTAGTTCAGAAAAAAAGTTCCCATGTGGCCTTTTGTGAGGTTCCGTAGAATGGAGGAAATTATAGAGAAAACTGAATGTGGAAATCTTTGATAAACACATTTTATCATTAGTGTTCTTGTATGGATATAGCTGAAGATATTATATAGCAGTAATAAGGACAAAAAAGCCTGCAATCACACGCAGAAAGACAAGAACACATACAGAGGTGAGCTAGTGCATGAATGCACATGTAAGCATACCAAGTCCTTCTGTGCATACATATAAGGATGTGAGTTGTGTGTTTTACACATATATATATGCAGGCAAGTACACATATTTATTCACATAAAGGCAGAAAAGCAGTTATACTACTCATGTAATCAAAGCACACTAGATGCACAAGTATACATGCTGTATGCGCGCACACACACACACACACACACACAAACACACAAACACATTAAGAATCAAGGAAGAAATGTATGTGTGTTTGTGTAGTTAGATATTATTTGGAGTGTGTTGAATTCAGGTTTAACCAGTATGGTGGAGAGCACATTTGCTCCCCAAATACTTCAATTTTCATTGCCTTGCAGTCAGAGTTTCCACCGTGTTAGAGGGAGATTGTACATTCAATTTCAAAATGAGTAAAACCTTTGTCCTCAAAAAGGGACCCAATGTGCTTCTGCTTGGCACTCAGCATTAAGGAGATTGGGGTTTAAGCAGTCGTGATGGAAGAGTGTCCTGAGCATGTAAAACTAAGCTGCTTCATGTCTCAGAAACAAGAGATCAGCTGCTTGCTTATGTGCCTCTTTGGCTTGTACAACACTTTCCACCTAAATGGGAGCAGCATTAGTTTCATGTTGCACCCACCACTGTCTTTGAGTTCCACTCAGACATTTTTATACACATTATTGGTGATTTCACCTCATCTTGAGTTCAAAAACTGTCACAAATTGTTGTTCTTTTGGATTAAACTCTTTAAGGAACATAACACAGTTCACATAAAAAAGTTAATGTTTTCAGTGAGCCGTAGTCGATGTGTTTGGGGTGCTCAAAGAAAATTATGATGAACTGGTCCAGCGGGCTCTCTAGGGATAAAACCAGCGGAGCCAGAGAAGCTGAAATCCCCTATCGTGTGTCAACAGCACTGTGAATCATGAATATCAGAGCAGTGTCACATTCCACAGCAAAAAGAGCCACTTAGCCAGAGTGGAATCTCTCCAACCCTCTAATATTCTCCTGATTGTCAGATCCTTTCAGGCACGGTGGCAGGTGAAAAAAAAGCCACTCACAATGACACACGTATCTGTAGGACACGCATAGAAGCACGTCTGCAAGACAGACACACATATTATGTACAAATATACAAACCAGTATTTAATATTCATGACAAATATCAGAATAAGATCCACTAGACCTTGTAAGAAGTTGGTTCATGCACCTGAGGATTACACCAAATTGATTGTGTTCATCCTTCCAATTTTCATGTGTCACAAGAACCAGATGCATGTTAACCTTATCTGCCATGTGAATGGACTGCCTCCCTTTGAGGTGGCAATAAAAGCACTGGTCGGTAGTGCCAGTGGAGGCATTTGATTTTTTACCTACAATCTTGTTTTATGTTGTATGACTTGTCTTGAATGGTGATGGGAATTATTTTTTACATTTAACAATCTCATTTATAGAACAGCATTTTTTGTGTTTGACACATTTGTTCTGTGCTCTATTTATTAAATCATGCATACATTCAGTTTTCACTTAAAAGGGCATTTATTTGTATTACAACTAGTGTCTATAGTTTTACAGTATAATATATAAATGGTAAATTGATTTGTATAGCTGGAAAGTCATTTTTGTCCCTCCGGCTAGTCAAGCTAAACATTTAATTTGAATCTGTATTTGCATAAAGCAGAATAGTCGTTGTGACAGTGACAGTAACACAGACAAAGACCAATACAATCAATCACCTCAATAGTTACTGTACAGAATGTGCATGTGGTGAATGTAAATATGTCAAAAAAGAGGTCTTAGTGTAATCACTATGTAGAACATACAGAATGTTCGACATATTACCAAAATTGAGTTAATGCTGAAAATGAAAGCGATTGTGACATTTTATTGATGATTCCTTCTTTTTTGATTGCTAGCCATTTTTCAAGCATATAGCGTTTGTCTTTGGATGAGTTTTGCAGCCTAAGCACATCCTTTTATCTAGTCTGCTATATTTCGTTACTTGAATATTGAAGAAAGAATTCTAGTTTACTAAATGATGCATGAGAGACTGTGTGCTGTATACAGAACACAGTGGCTACACAGTCTCCCCAGCCCCCTCGCTAAAGCACAATGAGCAAGCAGTATCTTTGCCTTAAGCTATGGTGCTTCACCCTGGCAGAAGCTCATATCTAATAGAGCTGAGTTATAATACATTGGGTGTCAGCTTTTATCTGCCTCCCCCTCCTTCTCCACCTCTTTATTTGGCTTGCAGTGTGCTTGAGAGCTTTGTATTCCGTGGTTTAGATGGCCTGCACAATGGTAGCTGAGAAAACTGCAGTTTGACTGGCAACAGTCTCCCCCTGATCTCTCCCAAGTAATTGTTTGAGGACAATTGGAGAAACAGCAGCCGGTTTCTCCGGGAGAAGAGACCTGAAGAGCTTGCAGTTCAGATAAATTGTCTGCACAAATTTACACCTCTGGGCATTTTTCAGATGAGTATGGCAGTGAGGACCAACTGCTCTGGTCAGTGGAAGGTCAGCCTGTGTGTCTCCTCACAAACCCTGATGCAGACTGATCCATAAATGGAGAAGAAGAGGTGAAGTTGTTGCCCCATGGCATGTGTGTCGGTGAAAATGTGTCTTCAATAGCAAACAAGTCCCTGGATCTCAGTGTAAGTGATAACATGCCTTTTGTTATGTGCTTTTAATAAAAGTAGCCTACATTAAGTGCATAGAGTTTAGCATTGCTGGCCTCAGCTGTGCTGTGGCTCAGTGGGTGAAACTAAGTTTATACAAAATATAAAAAACAAATTTTCACCTTTTCTTTTACTTTAAATCAGTTCAAATTTAATTATACAGTTTAGTGTACATTAAAAAATCTTTTCAGACATTTTCTGAGAGATTTTAAGAGGCTATTTTATATTTATTTTTAAATGCAAACATCACCAACTCATCTGTTGGGTTAATATAAAAGCGGTAACTTATCAAAACATGTCTGTGAAAAGAAGAAAATACTGTTCAGATGTTTTGATGACTCTCGTTTGACATTTTAAAATAAATATGCACAATTAATTGTAATTAAATAATAAATTATGTAATTAAATAATAAATTGTAATTAAATAATAAATTATAAAAAATAAATTAGTTTAGTATGCTCTGTCACTCAGCCTCCTCAGGTTCCAGCTGCAGCATGCAGGTGTCAACAGTTTAGAGTGCTGATGTAAATGACCCTAGCAAATAATACATAGGCCTATTCAGCATCAAAGTGCCATAAAACCTACCCAATGAAATAAAAAACAAGGGTGTGAAAACAGAATCCATTTCTGTAATTATCAGTCTGAGCAAAAACTGAAATTCAGGATTCCAGACAGGTGGGATTGGATTATATAATATATTGTATTCTCATTTTAAAAACTAACTTTAAACTTTTTCTCAGGAGTTGGTGAAGACCTGAGATCTGAGAAAGTTAAGTTAAATGTTGATTATATATCAAGGTTGTGTGTCTTGTTTCCACTGAACACAAGTGGGCAAAATGTACAGTTTCTTAACTTTCTTTTATTTCACTATTCACTAGGTGGATGTTGCAAAAACATCTTCTAGTAGATACAATTTCATCAATGCCTTTGATTTTGTTTCAAATC